AGAAGGACCGTCCTGGTGAAAGGGATAAGGGTCGTATGGGCTCTTCAGATTGTCATATTTCTCATTTTTTTGTCGACGCCACCATTGGCCTGTGCAACTCAGGGACACCTGCTGTATTACTCCATAAGTGCCCGAAGACGTTGCTCACGATGGGTTTAGGTGAATCAATCCTTTTTGATGGGTAATGTGGAGCTGTACGATGATGAGGTTGATGTCTTGTCTCTTCCAACTTGAAAGCCACAAGGACCCTAATGCCTCTCCAGAATCGCTCCGATCTCTCATCTTTCCTCATTCGCCAAATACGGGTCTCTGCGCTCTCTCATCCGCTGTGCTCTCTCGCCTATGCTCTCTTCTCTGCGCTCAGTGTCTCACTGCCTTAGCACAGTCGGATTATAAAAACGAGACGCCCTTAATTCAAGCATTTTACACGGTTGTGTTCCTTTTTTTCACTAACAATCCACTTCGCGCCTTGCTTTCATTTTTGTCTGTACGAAGCGGAGCAGCTTGATCGTGGGATGTACTGTCAAGCACATAGTTAAATAGCACACACACTGCTGAACTTGGTTAACTGATGAAAAGATTGATCTTTTTTGCGCAATTAGAATACACCTTCAATTGTAACTGTACTTCCCACTGGAGTCTATAGAACCTCTTGGCTGAAAAATTATGTGGGAAACAGCATCTGGTCGCATCTTACACAGATCCTGAGCGCCATAGTTTTTTTTGACTCCAATTAGCTTAATTTAACTAGGGTCTAAGCTTGAGTTTTCCTTCCACCTGTTCAATCTCTTCTGCTTTCTGCTATTCTATATATAGGGTGGATGACGAGGTGAAAGGGAATGGAAGTGGGAGCTGCGCATTAGATGAAAGGTGGGCAGTGAGGTGAAAACAGTAGAGGTCGCAGATTGCTATAATGGCTCCGCATGGTAACACTCACGCTGATTATGCTCAATAATTACTTGTACTTAGACCATAATCTCACGCAGCCAGAGGGAAAGGAGAACGGAGCGCAGGGTGAACTATGCACTTGGTTTTTTAGCACAGCTTATGCCGGAATGAAGAATTTGTTGTCAACTAATTTCGTACCTTTCCTCTGTTTCCGTTTTGTCAGCGATGATATCCAACAGAGCTTTTGGTGGAGAATTTGCACTTTTCCACATTTCGAACTCCTCTTGAGCTGATGGTGGCTGGTTGCTCAGCTGCAAATGAAATCATACTTTGCACTTTTGAACAAATGGTCATTACTTGAAATTGAAAGCTGAAGACAGTCTTTACATCAAATGTCACCACCAAAAAGGGGTAATGATGGGATTGAGCTATGGAAAAGTAGTAGTATACTTCCCCGATGCGCTTCCTCTTAAAGGCAAGAATCAGGATTAAATTGATGGGGTGATTCCACTCAAATGTGAAAGTAGGGGTGGGAGGTGGACCGCCAGTGGAGAAAAAAGGAAAGAAAATCCTGAAATACACAGGAAATACGAGCATTTTGCTCTATGCTGTGGAGAAGTTCAAAAGGCCGGCAGGGAGATGAGAGATAATGTGAGCGCGGAGAGCGGTAGAGAAGTCCGAGAAGAGAGAGCATAGCAGATCAACGCAGCGACGCAGACAAGATATCGAACGGTGGGCGGACCATGTTAAGTTTGGTGGAGTCTGTTAGAAGTCCATGGCGCCTAGGGTCCTAGTGACGCGTTTCGATGTAGTGGGGTTCTCATAAATTCCTGTCGCAATTTCGACACTTTTGTTTATTCAAGTTTTATCTCTTCTGGGAAACAACTGACTAATAGCATACAACCACCATCATGGTCGCTGATGTATGCGTGCATTTACTAGTGAGCGTTTGAAATCTTCCAGCCCAAGATGAAGGAAGCTGGGGGTCGAAGAATTTGGAGAAGTTTTTGGGGTGGTCACAATCTTTACCTTTCTTCTCTGGCAGATGCTTATTCAGGGCGCAGGTGAGGTGGTAGTCCGACAGAGCGATGCCAATGCTATATGGTGGATGAGGTATCGTGGCCCTGGCTATCTCCCCCACAACGTGGAGCTGACATTGCAATGTGAGGGTGTTCTGTTACATTGAAAGAGAATCTGAGACGTTTCTGACGATTCTCTCGCAACCCCATAGCCAGCCAAGAGGGCTATTCCGCGCTGACTTTAGCAATGCTTGTCTTCATACATTGAAGTGTTTCCCAAACCAGGCCACCTAGCGAATCCAATGAAACGAGATCAATTAATTCTCCAAGAAAAACGATTCGGCTTGCTGAGACTGTGCTTCTGGCTGCGAGCTAGCCATTCGGGCGTGCGCGTGATTAGTTGTACGCAGTGGACTCTTGACTCATTTCCACCGGTGACCGATTAGGGAAGACTCTGCTTTTGCCATCCAAGAATGGGTTTTCCCCAGGTGATCAGGCGTGCTTCCCGCTCATGGTCGGCCGGACCATAAGGTTTCCATCAAAACTTCACTCTGCAGCAGTCTTTGCCATACTGATGGCCAGTGCTGGTGCATCGGCTGCGCTCAGGTATCTGCTACAATACCATGGTAGCAACGTGCGGAGGCACTCCCAATTTAGGGTGCAAGGGGCGCTCATCAAAAAATGACCGCAGGCCCAGTATGAGGTTGAAGTTCATAGCTCGTCTCGTCTTTGCCGTTGCGATCGAACCACTAGCTCAGTACCCTATCAGTAGCCAAGAGCTGAAGCCAAACACCAGTGCTGAATTCCTTTTGCCTCACCTGCAACAGAGTTCAATTATGATGAATGAAATGCAATAATCATTTGATTGACAAGATCACTGACCCATTTTTTTTACTAGTTGATTAACCCGTTAAAGGCTTGCGCTTCCGGAAACCACGCTGTTAAGTCACTTGAAGCATGCTTCAACATACTAACGTATTTCGCAATGAAACGGTCTTAGACGGAAGGAATTTGAAATTGAATAAATGCGACAGGAATTATGAGACAACCCATAGAAATTAAATGGCGACTAATTAACGAGGTCTTTTATTACTTTGACACCTGTTAACGCTTCACTTCAAGTCACGTAAGCTCTCTATGTGGTCTGAGCCCAAATTGTTTGCACTCTAACACCTAATGACTTTCTTAATATGGTTCTACAGGCCGGAGGGCGGTGCAGTTTCGATGACGCAAATGAACGTTATTGGTGTAATGGAGTCTTTAACACTCTTCCATTAATTCGTCCAATGACATCATCAAAACCGCACAACCCTCTAGCCATTGTGATCACCGCCTTTAAAAGTCTAGCATGGCTCGCTGAACATTACTGCAAACTCAACAAAAATCAACGCTGAAAAGCGTGGGAAGACTTGAGATGAAACCCTATGTTATCCCAATTTACAGCCCAGGTGTTCTAACTTTAAGATATTCGTGTGTTCTTTAGAGTGGGATTAAAAGTTTCTCTCAATTTTATTTTACTTTCTTTAAAAGCGATTGCCGCTCAGAACTATAATTAATGTCATAGATAAACTTAGCAATTCCAAATGATAATGCCCTTTAGGATCACGCCAACGCATGCACAACCCCAATTTAGATACTAAGAATATTTATAGTGCGTCTTTGCCTATTTTTATGGCAAATTCGAGCTCGTTTTAGAGATTGATGATAGCGTGGAAATCCTCAGTGTTCATATATGCAACTTCTCCTCCCACGTAATAACTTCGTATTATTTACAACAAGAACTCCAACGAAAATGGGAGGCTTGTTTGGGCTGAAGGACATATGACCTGAAATTTGACCCAAGACCGTGTCGCTGGGTAAGGACGCCACTTGCCACTACAGCATCCCCGCCCAAGCAATAAAGCGGTTTTCAAGTCAAGGTTCTTCGTCACACTTCATGGCTTTCACACACAGGATTTCATGACAATAAGTCCCTTACCTCTTCAGTGATGATGTTATCGTAACACTGATTGAAAACTTTCGTCTCTTGGATGCGCATTGATACCAGTTCCACTCTCATCTCGAGAGGAAGTCGTTCTATTATTATGCGACGCATGCAGCGGGGCTCATCCGCGTTACACTCTGAACAACAGGAATCAAAAAGTGTCAGCATTCAACAGTACGGTAGCCTTCCAGTGTGTGATTACCAAGATATTCCTTCTTTCCTGTCAACCAGCTTCTTATCGCCGCCCATAACCGTGACCAGAATGATTGGCGGAAGTGCTCATTCGATCTTCTGTAACGCCCGACAATTTTGGGAACACCATTGAAAAATATCTTTTCGGGACCCACCTTTCAGCGAAATACTCAAGTATAGCGAGTTGATCGATAGCTGGTAGAAGAGGATTGAGTTGTGAACTCCACACACCCCGTATGGCATTGTAAATGGAGGCATTCTACAACGGTAGCACATCGGACGCGTAGCCAAATCCGGTACGGGAACGAAGAAAGAAACGGTTAAAGATTTATTGTGGTGTTTTATGACTCACATGGTAGGCCTCAAGTAGATCCAGATACTTTTGATTGTTGACGACAGCGAGGAACTCGGACAAATCGGTGTTGTTCTGTTCCAGTTCGGAAACCAGTTCACTGATGTCACTAACCTAAAATGTCACATCTCGAATGAATCACCTCCCATTGCAGCACATTTGAATGTTGTAACTTGGTCAATAATTGGGTCACCCTGAATGAGAAAATATCGTTGACCACGTGCGCGCGTAAAATCGTTACTCATTTAGGGCCATTGGACGGGTAGCTGTGATAGCGCAGCTTCATGACTATTTACACCGCGGATAGGTCTTCATAGAAGGAAACGCATGACGGCTCTGTCAGTTTGAGCCCTCACGGCTTTGGCTAGACACTAAGATAATGTCAAAGTTCACTGTTTTGAGGAGGATTCCCCTTTGAGGGCGATGGTAGAAGATGGGGAACTCATCTAGTGGAGAGACAGGCCGACCTCTCAAGGCTGCGAATCCGCATCGAAGGATGTACCCCGGCGATCTAGCGTAGCCTTCCCCGTGGCACTGTTGGCGCACTGTCGGCACGGTACGCCCCTCTCGCTGTCTGAGCCTCTAGCCGTTTAGCAGAGAGAGCGTTAGCGTTGAAGAGGGCAGCACCGATGAGAGTCGCATCAATGCGGAAATCAACGGGCAAGGAAGGGTCCATTTCTCTAGGCCGTTTTTCTAGTTTTTTCTTCTTTCGTGCATCACTGACCAACTCTGGCTCAATTGTCAATGAGCTGCCTTTTCGTCTTAGAATCCGCCTTTATCTGTTCTACGACATCGACATGACATACATTCATTTGCATCTAACCCATTGCGAACCGACGTTATTAGGCACTTACATAGGTTGCTTTACATTGGCCAATCTAGCAGTTATTTTATAACTCTCCAAATATGGCTATTTCTATGCCCAGGAAATGATGCTGATGAATTTGCTATTTAAAAAATGGTCAGTGAATCAAAGATAGCGATCCTTTTTTGTGTGGTAGCTTGCCATGGGTGCGTGACGATTCAATCGTGGCGATGGCTAGGTCGCCGCGCCAGCCGCCGCAGCCCGCGATGCGACGTCGTGGCTAGAATTCAGGGTTCTAGCATTGGGGAATGTAGATTTAGATGAAGCTTATAGACAAGGATCGTTAAGCCAAGGCCCATGACGTGACCTCATTAGCCGACGATTGAATTGACCGTCTCCCTAGATATTCGGTTCACAAATAAATAGTCAATCTGATCGAATACCTTCTTTCGATACTAAGCCTCCTCCTCCTTCCCAAAAACCAGATATTCCTAGCCTGGCTATCTCGCACATTACTTTCTTACAACTAAAGCAAAAAAAAGCAAAACGCAAAAAAATAGCAGCTAGCTGTACCTTTTGTTTTTCGTCGATCATCCGCTTCAATTCGGCATACGTGCGTTGATTCATGTACTTCTCCAGACTCTCAGTTTCGTTTTTCGGTAGCGAAATCAGTACCAAAAGTAGTGGAAAATAGTTGTCGAATAATTTATACTCGTAATCGTCGACTTCGGTAGCGTTCGCAAGTGCTTCAGCTATGCTACCGGTGATGTTCTGCGAAAGAACACCGTAGTCCAGCACTTCCAATGTCGGCGATGACATCAACAAGCACGGCAAGACGAAGAAATGAAGCTTTTCGAGCATCTGAAAACGGAATTTGGGCCATGAATCTTCGAGCATAGAAAAACGAGGAAGAATTGGAGGATAGAAGCAGGAATCGGACCACGCTTTTATAGAATTAGCACTGTTTTTTAAGATAGTAATGAGAGATCGGAAGCGGGAATTCGAAAATCAAGTTCCTTCTGATGCAAGTGCAGATCGCATGGAATCAACAAATCGCAATTGCGATAGGGAAAATAGGAGTACAATGAGTGAAACGCGGAGGGTTCAGGGTGTTGTGGAAATTGGTGAGAGGAAACTTTCTGCTCAAAACCATTTAATATGCTGCTGAGAGAGATGTATGCTATACGAAGTTATGACCTTATTTAAAGGACGAATTTACGATGGAAAAGCAACCCATTCCAAATTGAGGTAGAGATGGTGAGTAGTACCAGAAAGAAAGCGAAACCACGAAAAACGGCCCAGAACCGGAGAAATGGGACCCCTTCCTTGTCCGTTGATTTGAGCATTGATGGGACTCTCATCGCTTTGCCCTCTTCAACCCTACGCTCTCTCAGCTATCTAATCACTCGCCACCTATTGTACTACGGCGAGTGATCAGACGATCGGTGGGCGGAGATCGCCGAACTCGCCAACTTTGAGCCATGCTAGATCTCAGAGGTCAAATCTTTCGATGCCGATTGCGTGTCTGTCCGCACCCTCAAGAGATTCACCGCTCTCCCCACTAGGCGATTTCTCCCTTCTTCGACCTTCGTTCTTTCCGTGCAATCCTCCTTTAAGGCAAAGAACAGCTTCGCTTAATGAATTCAACCCTTCAAGTGCGCCACGCAGTATCTCCTCGTTCAAAATCAGGACGCATCTGAAAGCTTATTCAAGCCCTACAATAGCTTGCAGATTTTCAACCGAACCTTGGAAGTTGGTCTCCCTTTACGTTATCAATAATATAATAAAAGTCTTGGAGCAATTCATTGAAAGAAAGAATAAAAGCCTGATTAAGGCATTGCGCTAGGAATCACTGGTGTGGCCTCTTGTAACACGAATGCGAATCTGATTTTGTGCGAAATGGCGCTGGCCAGTAATGTAAAGAAAACTTCAATCTTCGGAAACGCCGTTGGACGTGTTAAGGGTTTCTTACAATCGCCGCTGCACTGCTAAAGGAAATGAGAGACTAAGCGCGGAGAGGAAAGCATGAGGCGAGAGAGCGAAACAGATGAGGGGCGTCAAACAACGCCCTAATGAAGAAAAAGTTATAGCTGCTGCCGCGCACTTTGCAAGGCCCTAGCGCTTTCCGTGCATGGAAATGCCACATTTGTGATTGTCTTTTAGGGGTCTATCCTAGAGACCGAAGGAGATCATCCACACGGCTTCTACGTGGGTTGAGCCTTTGAAGGAGATTCAATCTCGAGTATGCTTCTCTGGCTACTACTCTACTTCCGCTCACATGAACGTCGTTACTAACGACAAAGCCAATCACGAACAGGAAAATCATTTGTCTCGATTACTCGCCAGAGGGCAGTACTACTGCCCTATGATTTTTTGCCCTCCTCGGAACACGTCCATCAATAAAAGGACAATCCCATAGAACGATGAATAATGGGATGGTTCCTAGGCAACTGAAGAAAAAAATCAACGGGACGAGTAAATAAATACGGGTGTATAGAAAAGTGGTGGTTGTACATAGTAGTTTTGTCTTGGATGAGTCACTCGTTCACATTACCCTACAAGTAGTTTCTCCAAACCTGCTTAACATGGTTGCCTAAACAAATATAACGTGTAATGTGAACGTAAACAAAGGCAGGTGCATAAAATAGCTGGTGTTTTCTTGATTTCTGGAGGGCAGAGGTTTTCGATTTGGATTCGGAACGGTAGGACCAGTTTGTTGACATAATAGCTGTGCTTGCGTAATTCAAGAAAATATAGGATTAAGTGGAGGCGAAAGAAAGGCATGGTAAGATTCGGTAAGATCCTACCAGGAGTTCATCAAGGTATACAATTGCCGTGATACCAACGCACTATTAAACTTCTCACTATTAGGTACCACAATGGTTTAAGCCTACTCAATTCCAGTTGTCCGTGTGCATTATGTGAGATCTCCAACAAACCGTCCGTTCCATCTTCTCCAATGGTCGGTCTGAATAGTAGCAATTCTGTTGAGGGATCGGGAGCGCCTTAGATCAAAACCTACCGCTATTGCAATTTCTTTATCGCGTTCGCTTGCATTAAAGGAGGATTGCACGGAAAGAACGAAGGTCGAAGAAGGGAGAAATCGCCTAGTGGGGAGAGCGGTGAATCTCTTGAGGGTGCGGACAGACACGCAATCGGCATCGAAAGATTTGACCTCTGAGATCTAGCATGGCTCAAAGTTGGCGAGTTCGGCGATCTCCGCCCACCGATCATCTGATCACTCGCCGTAGTTCAATACGTGGCGAGTGATTAGATAGCTGAGAGAGCGTAGTGTTGAAGAGGGCACAGCGATGAGAGTCGCATCAATGCTCAAATCAACGGGCAAGGAAGGGGTCCCATTTCTCGGGTTCTGGGCCGTTTTTCATGGTTTCGCTTTCTTTCTGTACTACTCACCATCTCTACCTCAATTTGGAATGGGTTGCTTTTCCATCGTAAATTCGTCCTTTAACTTCGTATAATGTAATGGAAGTTGAAATGCGTGGCGCGCAAACGGAATATAGAAAAGAAAGTGAGGTGTTGGCAGATATAAAAACTTCCACCTTAAAGGCCTCGAGGCAGAGGTACTCACGATTAAAATAAAATCCTTAAGAGCTTCATTCTCACTAATAACTGAGGTGTATCTTATTAGTTTTCAATATCGAGATTTATGTAAGGTTTCAAGATGAAATATGATGAAGAAATTTAAGATTAGCGGAGTGTGTTCAGCCCTCAAAAGATCTCCATCGAGAGCCTGGAAAGAGGTTCTACTTGTTTTGGTCCAGCGAATGCACTATCGAAACTTTTCGAAACTTCTAGATGGACCCATTATAGGCCTCGAGCTGCTCAATAATCAAATTGAATTTGCCATCCACAAAGTAAGTGAAGTGGGTTACTTAAGTTGGTTTGAACACCGGCAAACTCTATTGAATCTAATTTCTTCCATCCAAGATACTGTATCAACGAATCGATTTGTATCGTGGCCGCTAAATTGGCATGAATCGAAGCCAATGACGAGCCAATTGATAAGCCTGACCATTAGTCTGAAGTAAACTCAATTGAGATAATCTTGAAGGCAAACTACGGCATCGAACTGATGTACTATTGCGCTTGAATGTGAAAGTGGAGTGTGAAGTGTGAGGCTAAAGGTGAAAAAAACGAGAAGAAACAATTGATAAATAAAAAAGGATAAAGCATTTGCCGTTGATCAATCCCTTTTTGGGATGCGGCACGCATTCTACTTCCATTTGTACATTCGTAGTGGCATTTGAATGCGATGTGGCCTATACAATGACTTGCGGGGGCCAGCCGATGTTCAAGTCAGTGTTTTTATCCTCCCAGACAAGTCTGGTACCAAACCGACCCCGGAGGGATGGAAGGCTTGGTTGGCCCGGGCGACTCACGACCCAGGATTTGATCCCCGGACCGCTCGCGTGGTAAGCGTGCCACTTGCCACTACACCACTTCCGCCCTATAAGCAGTTGATAAGGGCAAAAATAAAGCCCCAGTGTCTAGCAGCGGCGAAGCGGTGTAGCGTTGACTTGTGGCAAGGTTCAATGGTGTTGGGCGGGGCCAATGCTGCATCCTAGGGCCTTAGCACGTCGACCTTGTCAAAGCATCTTGAAGATGAGTACATACATAGTTCCCGCTTGCGCAGCACTGCATTTTTCTCAGGGAAAGGCTTAATTTCGACCAGAAATCCCAGGCCTTGCCTTTGAGGCAGGGCGTCTTCCTAGAGCTTTACTTATCCTGCCTTGAAATTAGAACACAAATGCGTAAATGGAAGTGCGAATAGCCTTTTGCAGCGAATGGCGGACCGTGTTAATGGCACGAAATGCTTATTTTGCGCAAAGAAACAGCAAAACAAGGACCCGCAGAGCGCTCGAAACTGGATGACTGGGAAGAACAACTATTCCTCACACCAGACCACCCGAAGCACGATTTTTGTTTTTCCGTTACGTTTTTTCGAGAAATAAGCGGTAATTGCTCTGAGGCAGGCAGTGAACTGGTTAGTTCCAAGGTGATGAATGAGGAAGTTGGAAGGGCGCGCTACAAAGCTGGGGTCTGAAACCTAAGCCGGCACATTTATTACCCTCGGAATGGACTCGTGAAGGAGAAGGCTTGGGGAGAAAAAAGAGAGGGCGATATAGGAAACAAATCATTATATCGAAGCTGTGAGCGTTTTGATTGAAGACGCGTTATGAGTGATAGAAAAAGCAGAGAACAATGCGCTGGAAGATTTATGAAACGTTGTGTGGTGAATGATGTCCAGTCCATTGAAGGAAGACGATCACTGCGTGGCGGAGGAAAAACCGGGCCATGTTCCAAAAAGAGGCGAACTGTCGCGCCGTAAGCGTTCGCCGTATGGTTGCTGTGTGCGGGCTGGGTGAAGAAACGGGGGGAGATTAGGCGCTGGGCGCAAGCCACCAGCGCTAGCGATGCGAGTTTCTCTGACAAAAATTGGTTTATGAAGGTTGTGCGAAAAAACGAACCCGTGTGTGCGTGCAATTTTCGTCACAACCTCCCGTTTGCGCGACGAGAGCGCGTCAAACGTAATTGTAGCCCCGACACTCCGGTTCCCCCTACCGGCATCACAAATCGCCCCCAAGTGAAGCGCTAGAAGTTGATATATGTCATATTGGAAACAGGGTTACTGCAAGGGGGAAGTTCTAGTTTTCAACTGCTTCTGAAAAGCGAACACCCAAAGAGGGGAAGAGCCTAAGAGCATTGTCGTGTGACAAAATGAATCGAATAACACCTGCCGAGTTGCTATAGTAATCAGGCAGCCTAGCGGCATTCAAGCGCTTTTTTTTGCTTGCTACAATCGAATTGCGCTGAAAAGCCTCATGACGACGTTTCAAAGGGTCCTCGACGCTACCATGCTGTGCGATGAACTTGAAGAGCTCGTCGTCGTCGGTTCGAAAAAGATCCGCGATTCGAACAAGGTTTTGATAGACGCGCCAGCGCGCGACATACACATATATGCTGTGTTTGCTCTTCTAACCACTTCTGGCAAAACGAGTTCCATGTCCGTCCGATAGTGGCGAACAAGGTCAGCAGATGAGTCGTTTGCACAACTCGCTCGAAATAATATGTACCCTACCCTTAAGTTCATAAATGCCCAATCGGATCGGAGAGTGATTCCCATCTGTAAGGCAGCTTACGGTCGAGCGACGCGGAGTGATCAACCGTTGACTGCCATGCCGTGGTCGGAGTATAATCGTTCCGGTTTTATGGGCATCATTCAGAGAGCGTAGATGTGTGTGTCACCAATCGGGCATGGTGACGACAAGGCACCACGAAAGGGTCGCTTGCCAAAAAAGGAATCCCGTTCCACCACAGATTGATGAAGTGCGATGAAAAAAGTGTTGAGGTTATCGACGAGTCCCACTCATAAATGAGGACGAGGACGAGGACGTGCTGGTTACTGATGTGTAACTGAAGTGAAATATGGTACAAGTGGAAAACATGATCGCTAAACTGCGAAGGGATGCTCACGATTCTCTTCTTCTATTTCTATGTGGTAAACACATAAAATGACTCAGTAATCAGAGATCATGGACCATGTGTCTAAGGTTACACTTTCGATAGCACTAGCGGATTTTGAAGAGATTCGAGTGCATGGCGCATCCCAGTCATGGTTGCAACCGTCACAAGAGTGGGTAACAGTGGACATGTTGGTCATTTAAAAAGTCATTTTATTAACTCCTCGTCACCAGAAGTTCCAAAGAATGTTGAGGAGGCTAGTTATCGATGCGTTATCACAACAACTACTACGGAATCATAGTGACAATGAACAGCGAATGTCAACACGCCAAAACTCGATCGAGGGGTCAAAAATAGCTCCTCCTAAAGAAAATCGTGAAATAAATAAATGGTGGCGTGGGAGTATCTGCAATTACTGAAATAGTAACAAAATATGGTAAATAATTATCCAAAGGAATAGGCAGAGAAGGCCTGGAGGTTTCATAGATTTTTTTGCTGGTAAGTTATGGAACGACAGCACTGACGAGATTGAAAGATGGTATGGTAAATGGTTAGGTACTGTAAAAATAAGAAGCGATGCCGTAAATTTAACAATTAGACGTTCACCAAAATCGAGGCCATGAGGACGGAAGGGGAGGGAAGAGGGGCTATGGGGGGTCAGATACCAATTTTTAAAACGATCACGCGATTTCGCGATAAATGGTCGGATAATATGAATAGAGAAAGATATGCTCCGTACGGTAGGAATTGCCAAAAAATGAGCCCATGCGGAGAAAAGAAAAAGAACTGAAGCGAGGGATTAGGAGAGGCTATAGCATTTTTAAAGCGTTAGGCAATGAGAAGCGACTTGAAAGCGGGAGTGGAGGTAGTAGGCACGGAACATTTGGGGTAGAGGAAGAAGCCTCAAAAGAAAACATATCAAAAATGGCTACATTATGGGTTTGGTTGATAGCGTCTACTCCACAAAACACGAGAAAGTGAGGAGGTGAAAGGTAGAGAGGTCCTTTAGATACGTAGTGGAAACGGGTGCTAGGGCGGAGTTAAGGGAGGAGAAGAGAGCATCGCATATGGCAGAAATTTTGCCGAAAAAATAAAAATAAATTATAGTTTCTTTCACAATACCTTCGTATCATCGAAGAACGGAGTTCTTTGGGTAACCAGTTTTAGCACGGATTTTGTAGAGCTGGCGAAAAAGCGCTGAGAATCGAGTCACGAGCCCTAGAATGCATATGTAGCGAAAACAATGCGTCTTCTCAAAACAGGATCAAGGATTGCGTATGGCAAGAATTTTGCGAAAATTCCGGATGAATTATAGTTTTTTGTCACAGAACCTACGTAGATGCGAGCTTTTGAGCAGCCAGCTTTAGCACGGATTTTGTAGAACTGACAGAAAACGCTGAGAATCGAGCCACGTCACTGGAATGCATATGTAGCGAAAACAATGAGTCTTCTCGAAACACCGGCTCTACAGTTGTAATGAAAGTGGTATGGACCTAAAAAAGAAAGCACGATAGTCTTGTTCTAGCTCGTTTTTTGCATAATAAGTGATCGTAACTCGTGGATAATTGTCGCTTGTCGGTCTTTGTGGAATAGCGCGCGTTACTGACAGTAGAATTTTTTGTGGTATTTTTTCGAATGCAGTGGGTGTTTTTTTGCAAGGCTAGTTCGCAAGAATTGCAGGCCGAAACCTGGTTGAGGCCCTAAGTTTCCAAGCCAATCCTTTCCAATCAAACTGCCACTAGAAGACGATTACGCGCTCTCTCCAAGAAGAAGCCCCCCCAGCGTGTATTCGCATACAGCAAGAGCGAGGCGATTACAGGTGTGGATCGGCGCTTGAACGAGACCTGCTCAGTAGGAGCAAGCCGGTAAAGTCCACGTGGGAGACACACGCCGCCTTCTTCCCGGCGAAAAGTGGTGTGTGCATTTGGGCCTACGACTGGTCCCGCCTTGTGCCGTCGTCAGCTGTTTTTGCAGTAGACAATTCTGCCTCCACCAAGGTGACGGCGGCATTCGCTCCAGCTTACCAACCAACTACATCATCAAATGGCGCAATCGCGACAGGATATTAACTAGTTGGCGCTGTGCGCCGGCGGCCTTTGAACGATCACCTTCGCAAGCATAAACGCGAGATGTTGCCGCCGTTACAGTGTCAATTATTCTCCCTAACGTACGTCTTTAGCTCGAACTCCGTGCCTTCTGTGGCCCATTTTACTTCAAACAAAGTTGACTTTCTCTCCCGACTCTTTCTTTACCCTTTAAGCTCTTGAGCCAGGCCACTCATTGCATACCTCCAGTGTAAATCATAAGAATGAAGTCTCAAAGCTCCACGAAGTGTTGTATTGCGTGTCACTTGCGCCGTACAATTTATCTATCTCAAAGAAAACCGGCTTACGAATCCGAAGCACTGCATCCTAGGGTACAACACGTTATCGAGCATGGTTTTGTTCTTTTCAGCCTATGCGCCGTTACGCTCCTGAGGAAATTTTCCGCCGGGCTGAAATATAATATGTAAAAGATGTTACAGATTATAGGGTTCACCTCACCGAGGCAGATTCGGACAGTTAAAGGAATCTTCCACGGAAAAAGCTCCGCCCTCATTACCACAGAAAACGATACCTTAAAGGAATCTTCCACGGAGTGATCATTTTGTCTTGTGTGTAGGATTAGTATTATCGAAACTAACGCTTATGTTCCGTTCTTTTTGCTATGCTCATGAGGCTAGGGGCCTAAGGTATCGTTTTTCTAGGGTAATGGAGGCGGAGCTTTTTCCGCGGAAGATTCCTTTAAGTACATTTGAGATCTTGCGGACTTTGGGCAATATCTGAATGAGCCTCCACTGTTGAAGGTGGCTGTGAAGGCTTTTCCTTCCGGCGCATGCTATCAAATGCGTTTCCGGATTGGAGGAAGGGCGAGGGGAAGGCAGCGTGGTGAGGGGTGAGGTGGGTAACGAGGTACACTTAGAAAAAAACATTGTTGCGACTAAAGAGAATCATTGCCAATCAAATGGCCTTTCGCTTCGCCTTTAGTAAAGTGTGATAAAGATTAGGTGCTTGTTTCAGAGCACTTTCATAACCCTGTATTCCCCTACGATAAAGTGATAAAGCGGCCACTTATTCAGAAAACATGGGTACCCGACAGGAGGTCCGTCGCGCGGTGAGAACGCAGTGACGAATACGGCAGCGGGCCAGTCGTAGCCCGTGCTATATGATGTGGGACGTACGTACTAATACCTTTTCATTTTAGTACATGCGAACCACTGCAGTACGTGATGCGAATTGCCCGCTGATCCGTCCTCTTCTTTTCGCCGCGTTACAGGCCTGCTGTCGGGTACCCAGAAAACACTTGAAAACTATGCCAGATAAGAATAAAACAACATAAACGCGCTCTTATACCTTTCTCAACGGCTAGCGAGCATGAATACATCGGTACTTTTGATGAACCTTTTGATTTACTTGAGTTATCCATCCATAGAAATTCCTGTCCTAGACACCATCTTCGAAAAACCTCGACTTGACAGGTCCCTTTTTATGTCGCGGAGGGTTCCTACGGTTCTCGCGATCCTCTCTTTTCAATCTCAAGACCTTCAGGTATCTCAATTCGAATCTTGATCCAAAAATATTGGTTGTTGAATGATTGATAAGCCTCACTATTCCTGTGGAAACATTTGACAGAATAAAGATCTGTTATATGAAGGAAGTTGATTCCCAATCATAGTGATCGTGGCCCCTTGCCAAGCGTCTTCATAATAAGTCAAAAACTTGTGCACATCATGAATTCACAAGAAAGTATTGACTGATCAATCGACACCATGCTGCATTTTAAATACTGATCGGTC